TAGATTATTGAGAAAAATGTCAGCGACTCAGGTCTTCTCGCCGCAGCGCCTCGAAGCCACCAAAGGTTTGAGGAAGAAAAAGATGAAGGAACTTGTGAGATTCATGAGTGAAAGCAGCGAGAGAGAAGAAGCTGTTGATATTTCTCGTGCATCTTTCATCACAACTCTTAATATCATATCGAACATTTTGTTTTCGGTCGATCTCGGTAGCTACGACTCGGAAAAGTTCAATGGGTTTCAGGACATGGTGATTGATGTTATGGAAGCCATCGGAAATCCAGACGCTGCTAACTACTTTCCATTTCTGCGGTTTCTTGATCTTCACGGTAATAGAAAGAAGATGAAGGACAGTTGCGAGAGTTTGATTAGGGTTTTCCGTGGGTTTATCGATGCTAAAATAGAGGAAAAATCAGTCCGGAGTAACCCTAAAGATGTCATGGATGCGCTTCTCGATCTTACTAAAGGAGATGAAGCGGATCTAGACACTAATGATATTGAGCACTTTATCTTCGTAAGTCTTACAATATTGCACTCTAGAATCTTATGAATCAAACTAAAACAAACATAACCACATATCTAATGATGTTAAAAAAAAAAACCACATATTTAAACAATAACGGATCATATTCATATGTACTTGCGTGTCAGGACCTGTTTACGGCAGGCACGGATACTAGCTCTAGTACCGTGGAATGGGCAATGGCAGAGTTACTTGGCAACCCTAAAACGATGGCGAAAGCTCAAGCCGAGATCGATTGCGTGATTGGTCAAAAGGGTGTTGTTGAAGAGTCTGATATCTCGGAAATGCCATATCTACAAGCGGTTGTGAAGGAAACTTTCCGGCTACACCCAGCGGCTCCGCTACTCCTCCCCCGAAAAGCGGAATCCGATGTGGAGGTTCTTGGATTCCTTGTGCCTAAAGACACTCAAGTTTTGGTGAACGTGTGGGCTATAGGACGTGATCCGAGCGTCTGGGAGAATCCGGACCGGTTCGAGCCAGAGAGATTTTCGGGGAAAGAGATTGATGTGAAAGGTAGAGATTATGAGCTTACACCGTTCGGAGCGGGACGGAGAATTTGTCCGGGGTTGCCTTTGGCTGTGAAGACAGTGTCTCTTATGCTTGCTTCGCTTCTCTATTCCTTTGACTGGAAGCTTCCAAACGGTGTCGTTCCAGAGGATTTGGACATGGACGAGACTTTTGGTATTACCTTGCACAAGACTAATCCTTTACATGCCATTCCCGTCAAGAAACGCACCGTTACTTAGCCATTGTCGTATATGTTTTTTTTTTCTAAGTACGAAAATAGTTTTACAAAACCACAGTTAATTATGCATCTTTTAAATAATGACTTTTCAGCATCTTTTTGTTTGTTAGCACACGTATAAATGCGTGGATGCAATATCGCAGAAAAATCTCCCCCAACTAATAGTAGCTGATTATTTAATTTGAAAAGTTTATTGTTTGACTTTTTTTTATCAATATTCAGATCCCACCACCAGTATGATGGATTTGGACCATAAATAGCAATAAATATCTTTTGACGTATTTGATTTTTACACTAAATAATAATGGTTTGAAGCTAATTAATTAGAATTTTATTTCAAGGAAAATTGAGGGAATCAAGCATGGACATTATCTCAGGCCAAGCTCTCTTCTTCTTATTATGCTTTGTCTTATCATGTTTCCTTATCTTCTTCACCACAAGATCCAGGCGGAGATTGGCACCGGGACCTCCGCG